TATTACCTAACATTCATTCCCTGAGCATCATCACAACATACTAAATGTGGTTTCCCATCTAGGATAAACTGCATAGTGGCTTAATCAAGCATGTTATCATCAATAATATTCCATTTCTACTTTCATACATATGTATACATATATATATGTTTTTTATCCTATGTTTGACCCTCTGCCCTTTCCCCCTCTCCCATTACACTATCTCTGCTATATACAGTTGTCTTCCAGAGGAGTTATTGAAAATGTGATACATGCAAGTAAAGGGAGAGGGGCCACGAGTTTCAATTATCAGCTCATAAAGTTTTTAACAATAGGGAACATAGATTCTATTCAGGGTTGGATTAAGGGTGGGTCTCATGCAAGTCCGCAATTGTAGGTGAGTCTCCATGGAATACAGTTTCAGGAAAGTGGTTCTGGTAAGCAGAGATGATTGTCAGTTGATGCGGCACAGCAGCCATCTTGTGATTACCGGGAATGGTGGTGTGGGGATCTGCAGTGTGAGTTATCCTCGGGTATCTGGCTTCCTTAAAAATGGTAGAGTAGTTCTTGTTTTTCCCTGAGGTAATGTAGGGCTGGTAACCATCATCTTCTCACTGTCCATAGGTAGAGAAAATCCTCCTATACAATATATTTCTCAATTGGTTTAAGACAGCTAAAGTTTCTTTCTGTTGCTTATAGTTGTAAGTTCTTAATCCTTGTTTTCGGCTTCAGTTTGCCGCCTGCAGCAAAAGAAAATTGATTGTTACTTGAAGCATTGTTTCATGCTCTATAAATTGTGGATATTATACTACCCTACCTACTGCATGAAGTGTAATAATCACATAAGGTAATGTATAGGAAAGTTCTTTGGTAATTGGAGCAGGCACACTCACAAAGATATTGTGGGGATCCCTGCATTTACTCAATAACTATTGGGTAATCTGGAAAGTCATGATGTGTTTTTTCATGTTTTTCTATGCATCATGACCTTTCTGAAGACCCAATAGTATATGTCCAGGACTCTGCCAGTCATTCGATAGTCATTGTTTCATTACCACCCCCAACATGCTGTTGTTTTATTAACATGTATTTGTATTATTAGAACTATTAGCTCCATTTCACAAAAGAAAGTACTAGAGAATGCACAACTAGCAAGTAAAAGACCATCAGTCATGTGGAGATTTTTTCAAGGTGATTTCATCTGAAGGCATTGCTAAGATCTGCCACATGGATTTCAGAATGTTTTCACATCAATTTTATAATGTGGCCTCGGGCTAAATCTTGCCCCAGTAAAAAGAAGGTTAATGATCCTCTTCATTTCTTTTATATGCCTTAAAAGCATGTGTTCCTTACACTCAAGAATGTGTTTTCAGTTGAAGAATTCAAAAACATCATAAGCTGAACACATTTTAGATCTTAATGTCCACTTATGAAACTATTTCTAGAAGAAAACAGAGCCTAATTCTAGAACAACCAACTTAGAAGTATAAATTAGAATTGGCAAGGGCTGTAGAGATCATCTGTTTCGTCACTACCTTAGTACATACATGGGTTTCTTTTATAATACTTGATGTATACTTGCAACTTTTGCCTGAAAAGTATACAAAGACTTGCCAGTGTTATACTAGGCAAGCTCTAGTCGTTAACAAGTCATTTGTTATACAAAAGTAAAACTCCATTCCTGTAACTTGAAAGTAATGACTGTTTCCAAAGCCAAACACATTAGGTATCTTCTCTAACCTTCATTCAAGGATTTTAAAATAGCTAAGTCTTCTCCTTCCCTAGGTTAATTAATTCATTAGCTTAGGTATTTTTGTAGGACCTAATTTCTAAGTATCATATCTGCTAGGATCAGTATTCTTAAGTTTGGTAGTTGCAGGTGGTGTGGTGGTTGAAAGAGCTGAATCCCCACATGGTTGACCATGATTCAAATCCTGGACCTGGTGGCTTGCTTTCTCACTTTCTCTCTCTCTCTCTCTCTCTCTTTCTCTGATCAAATTAAAATAAATAAATAAATAAGTAAAGTTAAATAAAAAATTCTTTAAAAAGAAAAAGTTCTTAAGTTTAAAATTTCTCTTTCAAAACACAGCACCTTGGGGGCCAGACAGTAAAACAATGATAAAACGTGACTCTCCATGAGGCTGACTCACATGAAAAGGCTCTGAGTTCCCCTCAGAAGACCGCCCTGAGTATGCCAGGCACGCATGTACCCATGACGCAAGGCATCATGGCATCAAGACACTGCTGAAAGTGCTGTCTTCTGTCTCTCACTGTCTCAATTTTCTACAGTAATGGATGAAATAAATAAATAAACAAAATAGGTGTGTGTGTGAGAGAGACAAAGAAGGAGAGAGAGAGTCGTAGCTAAATTATCTTACTGAACCCTTACCAGTTAAGGGTTCAGTGGGATCTGTTCCTCCCTAAGTCTGTTATTGGATTTCTATTAATGCACCTGAGAATGTCATAATGTTTTTAGCAGATATCATGCTATCACCTTCTAATCAGGCACAATAACTAGTCCAGCAAATCCATGCATTAGCCTTCATATTACTAGAACTTCCTCCACTCAGGTGTCAGTGTTGGTTTGCTTTGCTTTTTATGGGAGAACTTTGCTGACCTCCGCTGCTCACCTTGCCTTTCTAAGTGCCCATTGCACACTTTGTTTTATAGGATATCTCAAGCACATCCTTCTGTGGTTTCTAGAGACCACGTGTTTTCCCTTTTTTTTTTTTTCTCTGAAAGTAAAATACTTGCCCATCTGCGACTAGAGATTTTTACTCATTAAAGTTTTCATGTAACTTTCTGTGCTAGTTCTTGTTTCTTTCCCTCAGCAGTATATGTTTTAACTTTTCTGAAAACAGAACATTTCACTTAGCAGACAGGACATAAGCCAAAGAATTGAGTAGTAGCCCAGAAAAATTGTAGAATATTAGCACTAAAAGAGATCTTAAAGAGTCCCACTCTTAATCCACACGGGAGGAGGGAAAGCCCTAGAACTCACTGCATGGCCCAAGGAGACACACATGACTGATAGTTGGCATGAAAACCCAATTATGTGAA